CTTGTTTGGGAACCCAATCTTCAAACAACATTGGTTGACTCAGGGACAACGATGTATGTTGGTTCAACTTGGTCTTTTTCTGTAGAATACAGTCTTCCTGTAGCCCATTAAATCTTGTGTGGTTCAAGTAAAGACAGCAATCTTAGAAGGTAACTTTCAACTCTGGTACTACTTCCTCCTCTCAGAGATACCAAAAATTAAGGTTTTTATGGTCCAGTGTGTATCATCAGGGAATTTCCTTATCTATTGAACATACAGTTATTCAGAACTTGTGATAAGCCAAAGGATTGGCTTTAGATTGTTTTTCATGGAGTTATTCACTTTCCCATAGTGACTTGGATATGCCATTTGCCAAATGGACCAAGGAACAAGTGTGCAGTTGGCTCGTGGAGCAGGGCTTGGGCTCCTACCTGAATTCAGGCAAGCACTGGATTGCGTCTGGCCAAACACTTCTGCAGGCTTCTCAGCAAGATCTAGAGAAGGTGACTGCGCTTTTATTTTATTTACGAAAGGGATGCTGAGGGAAAGAGAATAGGAATGTAGAATTGTTTTATAGTCCAAAAGGGGATGCCGGTGAAGCCAGTAAGTTTTCTTAAAAAAGTTTGCATTTTTAGCTGCTTCCTGCTTATTTTATATCATGGACTTAAAAGGCAGGACCTGGTCTTGATTCCTTATGGAACACTTACGCCTCTGGGCATTTTAATGAAAAATAATTATACAGCCAGAATAATAAACCTTAAGTTCATATTCCTCAGAATCACTTTGTGACTTTGTCAGTGGCCTCCGTGGTATCTTCTCAACGTATCACAGGCAGTTCAAGTTCACTTTGCAGAAGGGACATACAGCACCCTTCATCTTATGTCTGATTATTGAATATTTCTTCCCAATTATCTAGCATTTTGTTCAAAATAAAAGTAAAATTCCTCTGAAGCACGCTATAGTTCCTATCTTTCAAAGAAAATGAGTCCCTAGGGGTACCTGCCCCAATACTGAACAAAGTGTAGCAGTCTTTCCTTTCTGGGGCCTTTAGTTCAATGACATTTTACTACCCCAATGAAGACCTGAATCTTTAATGCTGGCTTTATTTTGGAGTAATTTACATCCTTGGTCAGCGGCATCCTGCCTATGCTGATAGCAGGGTAAAGTCAGTCAGTGTTGCTGTTCATGTTGCAGGAACTTGGAATCAAGCATTCCCTTCACCGAAAGAAACTCCAGCTGGCGCTTCAAGCCCTGGGATCCGAAGAAGAAACCAATCATGGGAAGCTAGATTTCACCTGGGTCACTAGTAAGAGGTTTTGTTCTTTAAGAAAATAATACTACAAAT